CTGCATAAACATCAAACACAGATCTGTAATACCAATTTCTATGCAAATCAAACAACGCTCAGTGTACAAAGCTCTTAATAACGATGCATCATCTTCCAAGGTTCCTCCACAAGCTCCTAAAAGCTGTACTGACTTTTTAAAGTGTACATGAACTGGTTGAAAGATAAATTTCAGAGTACATTTTTTATGGTCCAATCTTATTCTCTTCATCTTTTTGCTGGAATTTGAAAAATTTTAACCATTAAGTAATGATGTTTAAACTCATCTGGCCCAGTCAAAACTGTAAAAGTGTCATGTGCTAAAGTCGATTTTGTCAATAGTGTGAACGCTCATGAAGCATTCACACTATTGTGATCCATTTGTCTTCCGTCAAATCTTTTGATCGGTTATCTTTTTACTGCTCCTTTCACATTTTGTTCTGCTTCAGCTTCTTGCAGCTTTCTTGTGCAATTTTAAACATTGTTTCAGCTACTTTCAGCTAAATTCAGCTGTTTTTCAGCTGTTTTATGCTCCTTTCAGATTCTTTCTGTTAAATACAACATTTTTGTGCTTCTTCTAACTTTGTTCTGCTAATTTCAGCTTGTTTTGCTCCTTTCAGCTTATTTATGCAAGTTGCAGCTTTTTCTGTTATTTCAGCTACTATTTAGCTGTTTTTATGCTAATTTTAGCTTTTTCAGCTAATTCCACATTTTTGTACTCATTTCAACTTTTTTCAGCTTATTTCAGCAACCAAAAAAAGGCTCTCCACTTCCTTCTTGTAATTTCAGCTTCTTTCTGCTATTTTAGCTGCTTTTCAGATGGTTTTTGCCAATTTCAGCTTTTTGCAGATTTATTTTTTTTAGTGCTCAGTTCTGCTTCTTTCAGCCTAATTGGGCAAATGTTCTTTCTGCCTTTTTATGCTAATTTAAGCTTGTTCTACCTTTTCAGCTAATGTTTAGATTTTTATTTTTTTTTGCTAAATTTAAGCTGTTTTTTTGTCAATCAGCTTTTTGCAGATCATTTTTAAAAATTTTTGTGCTCATTTCTGCTTCTTTCAGCCTAACTGGGCAAATAAGTTCTTTCTGCTTTTTATGCTAATTCAGGCTTTTTCTACGTTTTCTGCTACCTTTTAGAAAAAATTTAGCTAGTTTCAGCCATTTTCATATAAATTCCAATTTTCCGTGGTAATTTCTGCCAT